AAGGACTTGAACATCTGAAACTCAAGGGTTAGTCCTCCCAGCCATCCCACAGGCAAAACTCCCACGGAGCTGGGTGGTGGTAGGGGTGACTTCCAGAAACCAAGCACAAGGATTGGACAAGGAGGGAGAGGAATTGCTTCGCACTAGGTGCTCCAAGGGGTCTTTCCCTTTCCATCCTTAAAGTCTCTGCACCACCGGCCTCCAAGGGGAAAGCACTCAGCGGGACTGGGAAGATCTTACCCCTCATCGGCAGTCTGGAGAGGAAAAATTTTCCCGAGCCGTCTAAATTACCCTTAGATTGTCCACTTCGGAGGGCAGGGACCATCTTTTTTGGTGTTTGTACAGCACCTAGCACCGTGGGGTCCTGGGCTGCGACTGGGGCTCCCAGGGGCCACTCACAACAGATAATAAATAATAACGTCTGGAGGCTTTCAGCCCTTCTGCCTGCCGACCTCCATCGGCCCAGAGGACAATGCCACACTGCTGCCCATGCAGATCCCTATCTCTGGGAGCCAGCAGCTACTGACATTCCCTAGAGCTTGGCTGCAATGTAGCCTGTCCCGAGGTGGGTTTTAGAAAGAGACCTCGGGCTGAGACTGAGAGTTGCCTCCAACCCACATCTAGGACCAGCCTGGAGAACGAAGGTGCGTCCTTGGGAGCCAGAAGATGCAACTTCTCCTTCCCTGGCAAAAAGGGAGGAGGGATTCGACAGCAAACAGGTCACTGTTGGGTGCCCTCCCAGCCAGTGGAAAATGCCGCGGCTGCCCTGAAGGCAACGGAGCTGTGTCCGGTTACGCCAGCTGAGGTCTGGATCGGTGTGTGCGTCCCGGGGGCTGGAAGCATCGTTAGTGTCTGAGCATGCCAGTCCGCACAGCCTCAGCCTTGCCCAAGTCTCAGAGATCCACCTCCAGCCATTGCCCGCTCTGAGCCGGAGGCCGTCGCTCCCAGCAGCTCACGGGCATCGAGCTGGTAAAGACCTGGAGCGCCCAGCAGCACACCCTCCAGCTGGAACTGTCGAGTTCAGCGGGGCACTGACGATTCCTCCCAGCAAAGGATCTGTCTGTGCCTTGTCCGGAAGGGGAAAAACATCCCAAAGTGCCTTCAACATCCCCCCACAAACAACTCAAATGAGAACCAAGAGGAAAAAACACAGGGCAAGAGGTGAGGGTCCCCCTCCCGCCCCCCACACAGGAGCAGCCGCTCGCCTGCATTTCCCACCAAAGGGGAAAAGACCCCTGTGTCCAGGGAACTGCCCAGCCCTCCGCTGTCCGGGCCCAAAGAAGTGGGACATTGTTTTCTAGCCAAGGAGCTGTCACAGTACATTGCTCGTCCCAATGGCTTTGCCCGTCAGCGACAGGAGTGTCCGTTTTAGGCTTCTGTCACCCCGCGCCACACCTCGAAAACGGCACTGACAGAGCGGGCTCTGTGCTCACGGAGCGCCCCGGGTTTCCCCTTTGCCCAGACACGCTCTGCTGCAATTCAAAGGCCAAGTCACCCATCTCCCCCAAATCGTTAATCAGCTTCGAGCTCTGCCGCCCCTCTCAAAGCCTGCGAGAAGCCCTGGCACCCAGGAGGCAGGGGACCCGAAGGGCCTTTCCCCCCGCCAGGAGGGATGAAAACCAGCTGCTTATGTGGATCAGATCCAGTCCCAGTGCTGCGATGAGTGGAAGGGGTGTCAATGCTGGGGATCCCTGGGAATCTGGACCTATAGGGAGGTCAGTGGCGGAACCAGATGATCCATTGCAGGGTCCTCATGGAACAGATAACAGCTACGGGGTCTTCTTTGCAACGAAGGCTTTGGAAGCAGCCGCGGCCGGGAGCTCCCCAGTTCTCAGAGGTACGGTGCCCCGTTCAAGTGACAGCAGTTCCTGGGATAGCTCAGGTCTTTCTGTGGGGCGACGGCAGGCCCGGGGCTGCCGTTGGTGGCAAGAGGGAGGCGCAGGGCAGCCAGGGCGGTGGGCGGCTCCTCCTCCAGCAGGTTGTCCGTCTCCACGTCGGAGGGCTCGCAGGAGCCCCGGCGCTTGTTCTCGGCGCTGTAGAAGAAGGAGAGGTTGCGGAAGCTGGGGTCCATGTCGTCCTTGATGCTCTCCAGTAGCTGGGTGAAGCTGGGGCGCTGGCGGGGGTTCTGCTGCCAGCACCAGCTCATCAGCTCGTGGCTGGGGGGAGGGAGAGAGGAGACAGACGGGTTTCAATCGGATCCAGCCAGCCGGAGGATCAGTCCTTCCTCGCCCGGCTTTCAAGCCGGGGACAGGAACCCGACTTAATGCCCTAGGGGCTGAGGGTATCCGCCCCTAGAATAGTCCCCACGCACTGCACTGCCCAAGTCCCCTGCAAGAGTGCCCCAGGGGCGAGCTGGGTCTCCCACTCAACCCGTGGCCTCTCTCCTGAGGCTGCTGGCCAGGGGACCAGTCCGTGCTGGTGGCGCTAGGAAGCAGGGCCAGGCCTGTCTCCCATTCTCCACTGAGCAGGGCGAAAGCCGATGGAGGCCCACAGCTCTGTTCTCTCCCAGCTTTAGGTCTGATTTAGAGACTCCTGGGAAGGTCACCGTCTAGGCCAGTGGTGATGGTGATGGGCACTATTCACTGGAGCTGGCCACCGGCGTTAGACCCAGGCAGAGTGGAACGATGTCTGGACCCAGTCCTTACACTTAAACAGGGTAGGACGGGCAGGGGAAACAGACACATCCATGGAGGGGCTCTTCCCTGGACTCCTACCCCAGGCAGGGAGCTCAGGGGCACGGGAGCAACTTACAGTTTCTCCGGGCAGTTCTCAGGCCTTTCCAGGATGCCGCTGTCCATCACAAAGCGAAGCACCTGCTCGTTGGACAAGCCCTGGTAGGGCTGCTCGGCCAGCGTGGCGATCTCCCAGAGCACCACCCCAAACGACCTGCCGGGACACAGGGACAGATTGGATCAGCCTCCTGCCTCCCCCTGAGAGCCGCGGCAACAGCGTACCCATCGAGGCGTGGTTCCCCCACCCTCACCAGAAATCACCAAACCAGAGCCCTCATATGCCGGTCACATCATTGTTATGTCCCATCCAGCATTGTTCAGGCAGCCAGGTGCATTATGGGAGGATCCCATCTTCCTCCGCTGCATCAGGTACTGTCTGCTGTTGGGAGCGGGATACTGGACAGGCCAGATCACTCCCGATGGTCCTCGAACACCTACCAGACGTCGGAGTGGGTGTTGAAGATCCCGTCCTTCAGGGCTTCCGGGGACATCCAGCGGACAGGAAGCAGCCCCTTGCCACCTTTCCGGTAATAATCCGTCTCGTAGATGTCTCTGGTCATGCCAAAATCTTTCAGGGAAGAAGGAGCCAAGGAGAAAAGGGGTCACTCACAAGGACCATCTGTCCCAGCTGAGCTCTCTGGTAGTAACACTGGCGTCTACACGGCGCCTTCCACCCCTGTGGCACGAGGAGGCAGGGAACTGACACCCCAAACCTGCTCCGTTTTGGGGCTTGCCCAAGGTCGCTTGCCAGGTCAGCCATCACGCTAGGAAAGGAACCCAAGAGTCCGGGCTCCTTGTCCTGTGTGCTAAGCACCAGAAAAAGCTTTGCCTTCTATGCACGGAGGAGAAAACAACAACTCAGGGGCTGATGCTCAGAAATCCGGAGTGTTCACCCACATCTCCAGTGGCCCAAGGCAGAGATGGACTCTACTCAGAGATGGCCTGACTCCAAGAGGTCCGGAGGCTCAACCTGGGACTGGCCCGAACTCTCCAAGCCTTTTGGGCCAGCAAAATTTACATACAATGTCCACATGCAGAGGAGTTGATAAAGTGAGGGGCTGACTCTGCAAGGGGCTGAGCCCCAGGTCAGCAGGGGCTGATAGAGCCCAGGCCAGCCCGGGACTGAGATGTCCATCACCCACCTCCAATCTTCACCGTGAAGTCCTCCGACACCATGCAGTTGCGGGCGGCGAGGTCCCGGTGCACAAATTTCTTGGCGTTGAGGTAGGCCATGCCGTCGGCGATCTCCCCTGCCATCTGGATCATGTCCTTGAGTGACGGGGGGGGCAGGCCAGGGTTGTTCTGAGTGACACATCAAAATGGAGGGGGATGAAGGGCATGTGGCTACCGAGGGGCAGGCCCAGGGGTGGGTATGCAAGTCCCTCCATCAACATCCGTGGACAATTTTTGTGGAAGGAGCCGCGGGACCAGAGTCCTGGCAGTTCCACATCTGAATTTCATGGGCTCAGGAGACTCAAACCAGCTGGGACCTAAATTATTTTTGTATTATCTGTACTGTGGTAGTGGCGAGCAGTCAGTCACAGCCCAGGCCCCCCTGGTGCGAGGTGCTGTACAAACACAGAGCAAAGAGACGGTCCCTGCCCCAGGGAGCTTCCAATCCCCACCCCAAATGTGGGGCGTACCTTCTTCCAAGCTAATTCTAAATCACCTACGGGACTGCTAAGGAGGTTGGCAGCAGGGCAGGTAGGGGCATAGATAGACACATCAAATGTGTAGGGTTGGATGGACAGATGGATAGACAGAGTATATGGGGATGGATGGACAGATGGACAGTATGGGGATGGAGGGATAGATATAGAGTATATAGGGATGGATGGACAGATGGACAGTCTGGGGATAGAGGGATAGATATAGAGTATATGGGGATGGATGGACAGTATGGGGATGGAGGGATAGACAGAGTATATGGGGATGGATGGACAGTATGGAGATGGAAGGATAGGTGTAGAGTATATGGGGATGGATGGACGGATGGACAGACGGACAGTATAGGGATGGATGATAACAGAGAGTCAGTGGGCCATGGAGTCCAGACGTGGCCCCTCCATATCAGGCCTGGGGGGCTCTGACCAGTGGCAAAGTGGGGGGAACCTTCCCCTGTGGCTGCCCAGGCAGTCCCCGCTCTGTGTATCCAGAGATGTCAGCCCCACCCAGCCAAACCCCCTGGGTTCCCGGAGAGCGAGCGCCTTCCGCCTGCCCTAACTTTCCCTCCCCACCCATCAAGAAGCTGACTGGCCACTTTCCAGGAGAGACAGGCCGTCAGCCTGAGTTTGGGTCCCGTCTCTTCCCCCCCAGCCGGCTCCTGCGTTCCAGGCCCCGGGCAGCAGAACAGCACAAGGCCCGGCCCCAGCGAGCCACCCACCTCTGCGTCCGGTCTGAGAGAGCGGAGGTAACTCTTCAAGTCCCCTCGGGTCATCAGCTCCATAATGACCAGGGCTGGCTGGCCCTGGGACACCACGCCAAGGAGACGGACCTGCGGCCAAGGCCAGACAGGAGTTAGAAAAGCAGCACCGAAGGCTGGGGGGCCGGAAGGACAACCAGACTAGAGGGGCCACTGATCTGATCCGGTCTGGGCAAGAGGCAAGATCTGATGCTAGCCAGATCCCTGCCCTTGTCCCGTTCGGCAGCAGACCTGATACCGAACTAGATGGCCCAAGAATCTGTTCTCAGACAGCAGCTGGTGGGATAGTGGAGTACATGGGCCCCTGGTCTGTCTTGTGGGGCAGGACCCCCATTGGATGGACGACTGCTTTGTTCCACAAGGACAAGGGTCAGGATAGCAAACTAAACGGTCTGGCCTGATATATCAGCAGATAAGGCAGCAGAAGAGATGGCCCATTGATCTGGTTGGGCATGGCAAACAAACATTAGCGCCAACAAAGCTCCCATAAGGAAAGTGATGGTGTCTGTCTGGGATGGGAGCTAAACGGGAGTGTAGAATTGGTTGAAAATATTCCATATGCAAGAGAAAATGGCTTTTTTGTTTAAACAGAAAATTCTGCAGGAAAACGTCTATTTTCAATTAGATTTTTCAGGTTTTCATTTAAAAAAAAAAAACCTTGAAAATCATAAATTTTCCTGTTTTCAGCGAAACTTTTCAGTTTTGGGCTTTTTGATGAAAACCTAAAAAAAAAAAGAAAAAAAAACAATAAAAACTTCAACCAAAACTGTTTGTTTCATTTGAGTCCACGTTTTTCACAGGGGGAAAAAAATATTTCTCACCCAGCTCTCTCACATTAAGTTAAAATGGGCTGGTCCAAATTTTTCAAATGTCATGTAAACATTTTGCTTGAAAATTTCAATGTTGAGGGGGAAGATGTGAGACAACATTTCAGGGAATTCCCCCGTATTTCAAGGAGCTGGTCAAAAATTTTTCCAAGATTTCAAAACAAAAACCAACAGGGAAAAGGTCCAAAAAAATGGTCACAATATTTTTAACGAATAGATTCCATTCTGATCATCTCATCTGATCTCCTGCTTAGCACAGGCAGAGAACATCACCCAGTGATTCCTACACCAAGCCCATAGCTTGTGGCTGAGCTAACGCATGTCCTGAGATAGAGACTCTACCACGACCAGCCCTTGTTAGAATCCAACCCCCTGTCCCCTCCCCATCGGATCCACACATACCACGTGGTGACACTTAAACGCCTTCATGACCGAGGCCTCGTTCAGGAACTCAATCCGCTCCCTCATGGTGGCCAGCTCATTGACGGTCTTCAAGGCCACCTTCGTCTCCTCGTCCTCTTTCTCGATGCCCTGGGCGATCCCTTCGTAGACCATCCCAAAGGATCCCTGCCCCAGCTCCCGGATCACCGTGATCTTATCCCGCGACACCTCCCACTCATCCGGGATGTACACTGACAAGGAAGACACAGGCTAGGATTATGCCGATGCTACCGCAGGGTGCTTCGTGGCTCCCTCTAGTGGCTGAGCCACAAAAGAAAATCAAAGTCTACTACTGTACCAGCTGAGGGAGCTGCTGCTTTAGCTCGAGCTGTTAGTGCTGCAGGTTCCATCCTGGCTGGGACCCACAGTGTGGGGTTTTGCTTCACGGGCCAAGCTAATGGGCACAGGGATGGGATTAACCCTTTAGGTGACTCCGAGACAAGACAAATGGCTGGTGTTTAAAAGGCTACATTCACGTGCCCCCGGGAACCCTATATGCACAACTACCCATCCACGTGACCCGCTGTGGGACTGACTCACTGACAACCTGATCCTGGCCACCCGCAGCTGCCACCGAAATGGCTGGGAGCAGCAGGTGCTCAGCACCTCTGTGGAGCGGACTCGTTACAGCCTGGCTCTGTCTACTCCAAGGATGCACCCAAGTGCAGGATTGGGGCCAAAGAAGCAGCCCCAGAGACCTTCACAATAAGACTCCTATCTTGAGCTGAGAGATTAAGCAAGGCGCAGGGGTCCAGTGGTTCGAACACAGGACGGGCAGCACTGACACAAACTGCCTGTGCGACCCTATTCTTTTCTGTGCCTCAATTTCCCCCATCCATAAAGTGGTAATATCACTTAGCGGCCCCTCGACGCTGGAACCAGCAATGGCTATTTCTTGGAAGTTGCCCACGTCCCAGCCCCTCTCTGGAGAGCGCCGTACGTACTGTCCGAGGTGCTGAAGTATTCCGGATTGACCGAAGCATAAAGTGTGCCGCTCGGGTATCCGTCATTGTTCCTACGAGGGGGGGAAAGCAGGACAAAAATAAGTGCCTCGCTCCGACAACGTCCAGCGAGGGCAGCAAGTCATTCCCCAGGGCAACGGGCACCTGCCATAACTCATCCACGTCCCAAGCCCCTGCAGCTCTGCTCCTCTCAAGATATGGCCCAGGACTAGCAATTCTGGCGCTACTGTTCTCAGCGGATGTGCACGAGGGGCCGATTCTCCATTGCTCCGCGCCTGGCATGGTCGTTTACCCCAGGGCAGCGATGGTATACATCCAAATGACTGCACAAGGGGGATTTGGCCCTTCCAGGCATCAGAAGGCCCCGTTCAGGAGGCAAGGAACCCCAGCAGGGGCTGAGCCTGTGTTCCAACAGGACTGAACTTCGGAGCAGTTTGTAAAACGCAAGAAGGGGAAGTTGCAGCTACTGGGGAAAATGCAAACACTGAAAATTCAAATCCAGTCAAAATGCAACCAGACGATCCCAATTCTCATTCACACCAAGGACCCTGCCCACCCCGTTTTAGTAGCACACACGGCTCTGGAAGCAGGAGTCAGTGATACTTGACACCCCTTTTACACTGCCGGGGCCTTTGTGTAGATAAGAATCAGGACCAAAGACAGGAAGGGATCTGGCCCCTTTGAGCTACATAGAGATCCAGGGCCATCAAAATACACACCCGGATCTCAGCTCTCACATTCACATGCAGAGATGCTTTTGGTTTGCAGCACAAGCATGGAGCAACCTGGTCTATTCAAGCCAGACTGCCGTCCACTCCCACCAGCCGCGGCAGGGGCCATGCCAGCTGTGTCTGGATGGCTGAGGGTTCCTCTGAATCTGTGGGGTAGTTATTTTCTGAAAACTGATGCGATCTAAGGCTCACAGCTGGTGTTTTCCTGTTCTGACTTGGGCAAGCAAATAAAGTTGAGGGAGGCGGCGCCCTATCTGGGCTGGGATCTGAGAGTTGCTGTCACGTACTCCCGGGCCATGGGTGTATGAAAGATTTGGAGGGGGGGAAATCAGTGCTGGTCACCTTTGCAGAGGGCAGGTGGGGAAAGGGGGGATGTGAAAGCCAATGATTGCAAACAGGGTCCTTTAATTCTGGTTCCTCCGTCTGCTGCCATCCCCCACAATTCCCCTCGCCCCCTCCCCCCAAAAACCCATGTCTTTTAAGCAAATTTTACCTCATCTGTAAAGAGCCATTGTTATTTAGTGAATATACACAATATACCAGGCTGAATTACTAGATACACGGCTGGTCTGGTTGGGTTCTGGCAGCTTTTGATGCACAGAATACAGCCTGTTTCCAGGCTCATTCCTAGACATGACCGTAAGGTTTTCAAACACTGGGGGCCTGGAATCTCAGTGCCTCCGGTTCTGCGCTTGGGCAGGGGGATGAAGGTGTGTGAGGGGGGTCCCGTTTGCTCTTCCCGTATTCCAGGGAATGGAACATCTCCCCCTAGACAGCTCAAGACACCTCACTGCAGCCAGCTGTGCAGAAAGCCAGCATGTATTCACCACACGCTGGAATCAGAGGCTCAGGTCTTGCCTGGTGCCTCCGTCTGGAGGCCCAGCCCAGCAGGAGATGGGGGTAGAGGTGGCTTTGCGCCCCCTGAATCCTGAGCTGGCCCAGGGGACTCAGGGTCTGCCCTAAATACAAAGGAGCGTCCCACAGCTGGGGTGCAGCCCCTTCCAGCCATGTCCCCCCCTGCACTGGGAGGGAGAGGGGACGACACTGGGTGGGGGAATCTCTCCTGGCTGGGTCCAGGCTCCTTTGCGCTGCTCCTCCACGGGGCTTAGAACCTGGGAAGTGGCAACAGGCAATGGGATTCCATAGCCAGGTCCTGGAGGTGACCGGCTCCAAGCCCAGAGCCAGTGGTTCCCACGCTCCCAGCCTTCCCCCGAGCCAAGCGGCGTTACCTACCTTCTCTTATAGTAGAAGAAGACAAAGACAACCAGGCAGGTGATCCCCACCATGAGGACAATGGGCATGACGGTGAGCAGCACGTAGAAGCCGCCAGACTCCTCCTCGGCTGCATGGGGGAGAAAGGGGGGGAATAGACAGGCCCGTCACTGAGATGCTAGCAGCAGAACTACCCCTCTCCTGCTGGGATGTGGGCATAGAGAGCATGGCCCCGGTGGGCCCTCTCCTACGCCAGTGGCCATAACTGGTGTGGAGAAAGTAAATCAGGAAGTGTTATTTATTCCTTCTCCTAACACAAGAACTCGGGGTCACCCAATGAAATTAATAGGCGGCAGGTTTAAAAACAAACAAAAGGAAGTATTTCTTCTCCCAACGCACAGTCAACCTGTGGAACTCCTTGCCAGAGGATGTTGTGAAGGCCAAGACTAGAACAGGGGTCAAAAAAGAACTAGATACGTTCATGGAGGATAGGTGCATCAATGGCTATTAGCCAGGCTGGGCAGGGATGGTGTCCCTAGCCTCTGTTTGCCAGAAGCTGGGAATGGGCGACAGGGGATGGATCACTAGATGATTCCCTGTTCTGTTCATTCCCTCTGGGGCACCTGATCTTGGCCACCGTCGGCAGACAGGATACTGGGCTAGATGGACCTTCGGTCTGACCAGTATGGCCGTTCTTATGTTCTTAATCCACCTCTGACGGGAAGGAACTGTGGTCTCCTGCACAGGCAGGGCTTCCATACAGACTGTGGCTCTCCCAAGCCAGCAGACTTACCCCTGCCCCTGAGGAGTAGCCATCCCCAGCCCCATCCCCAGCTCCGCTCTGCACCGCTCCCCATTGGGAGCTCCCTCCCCAGCCAGCCCCCTGCTGGGGAGAGCTGGAACTGCAACACCCCAGATACGTACCCGGGCCAAGGATGTAAAATTTGATGAGTCCAGTCCACGACCCATTCCCGGCCAGCGAGGTGGCCCGGACCTTGGCAGAGTAATTCCCCGGCTGCAGGAGGGTGAGGTGGACACCCCCGTATTTGGCGTAGCGGTGGCGAGAGACACACACCACGGTGGTGACCTCCTGGGACGGGGAGAGAGAGACACGGATGTTCCCGCGGACTTGGGGCCAGTCGCCGTGACATCTGTGCTGAACAGCCCTGGGTTTATTTTTGGGTGTTTTACTGTAGCACCTAGAACAGGGCCTGGGTGTGCAGCTCAGACACACCGTGCAAGCCAGGGCCTGCCGCTGAGAACTCACGGGCTAAAAAGAAACCCGTTGGGAGGAGAGGGAGAAAACTCAGGGAGAGCGAGGGACTTGCACAAGGGTAGAAAGGAAAGAACCCAGGTGTCCTGAGCCCCTCACAGGGTTTAAGTATTCAATGAGTGCCTTGTATTAAAAAGGCAAATGGTTCTGTACTCCTGTCTGTAACTCCACTGGGGAGGGGGCCCACTGCCCCCCAGGAAGGGAGAGGCGTGGGGGTGAGCTCGGGTGAGCTGGTTAGCCTGCGCCTAGGATCTTTGATGGCGTTAACGTTTGCTTTCTAACGCTTTCCCCCTTACGGGTAAACGTGCTTGCTCAGAAAGGGCCAGGTGGCAGCCGATGAGGATGCCGGGTACTGTGCGGGAGGAGAGATGTGGAGCAGGCGGTCTCCAGCCATCTGTCTCTTGCGGGCGATATCACAGGATAGACAGGGGACTCCGCAGCCTGGAAATGACCCACTCAGGAGGGAGAGAGACGTGGGTCTCCAGCCGAGAGAGGCCACGGCTGAGGAGCTGGGAGCCTGAAGTGGGAGCCCTTGCTGGACCACAGAGGAGCCAGGCAAGTGGAGTTGCCCTGAATGGAACCCAGGTGTCCTGAACCCCCACAGAGGGCCTTGTCCACTACCCCACACTGCCCTTCTCTACTGAGAGCATCCAGCACACTCCAGCAACACAGCCGCTAGCCAGAGGATGGGCTGGAACAGAGCCCAGGCACCGACTGCCAGCTTAGCCAGTCCCAGAGCTCAAACCAGGGACCCGCAGAGCTCAAACCGGGGACCCCCAGATCTGACTGCACGGGAGCAGCACCCACAGCAGGCTGTGGCGGAGACAGGAACATGCATGAATGCTGGTGTGGGCGGGGTCTCCTATCCTGGGGCAGGGCAGGCAGGTGCCATGGGCCAAGCGGGCTCGGGGGGCAGGGGGGATGGGTCTCGTCACCTCGTTTTCCCGGCTGTACTTGATCTCGTATTTGAGGATGAGCCCGTTGGGGTTCTTGGGTTCCTCCCAGCGGAGCAGGACGCTGTTCTTGCTGGCCGGCTCCCAGGTGACGTTGCTGGGGATGTTATCCGCTTCCACTAGAGGGGCAAAGCAGGAGAGGCCGAGAGGTTTGCTCAGCGCGGGGAGCAGCGTGGGGTGGGGGGGATCTGAGTGCTGCAGCGTGTGCGGATCCCCAGTGCAGCTCAGCCCCCAGGGCCATCAGCCCTGGCCCCCCGCCTCGCCACCAAACCCACCAGAACGAGGAAGAGAAAAGCAAAGACCTGTCAGTTCACCCCCGCAGGGGCCCGCAGCAGGTGGGGAGCGGAGGGGCTGCGCCAGGCTGAAATGCACTAGCCCAGAAACACACTGCTCTACGCCCTGCCGTCCGACCCACCGCTCCCCCTGCCACCCCAGCCCTGGGCCAGACTTGAAATCAGGCTGGTGGATCCGAACTGCGATCCCCAGGGGTTCGGGGTTGAGACCAGGAAACTCATTGAGCTTGTGGTATCCTGGAAGCCTGGCTCTGAAGCAAGTGTCCAGAGAGGGGAGTGGGCCATGCCTTGCTCTGTCTTAGCCCCCGCTAGCACAAGATGGAGGGTTCCCATGTCCCCCCTCCTCGGGGCCAGTACGTACGCTCAGGCATAGTCCGGGCAAAGACAAAGGTGGCCGCACTGCAGCCCACAGTGTGGGCGGCGTGGTTGCAGGCGTGGATGTCGATGCGGTACTCGGTGAAGTGGCGCAACTGGGAGATGACCGTCCGGTCCCGCACCACTTTGTCCTCAAAGATCCGGAAATCTGTTTGGGCTTTGGGGGCAGCGCCTGTTAGGTTCAGGGAGGGCGGTTTCCCTGGGAGCTCCAGAGAGGAGTTGTTGGAGAAGGGGTGGCCGGAGCTGGTCAGAGCCAAGATGTCTCTGCGCCTTTTCCGAGTCCTGCGGGAGAGAAGTGGGGAGTGAGGTCTAGTGGTTAGAGCAGGGAGGCAGCACTATCCATGGCTCTGGGGTGGAGTGGGCACCAGTGAGTTAGAGCAGAGGGGACTCCTGGGTTCTCTTCACAGCTGTTCTTAACCCTATCCTCTGTGTGTCGATGGTGAGCCTCACTTACCTCTGAGGGTTCTTTTTGACAGACGTCACCTTCCAAGGGGGTCTGAAAAGACACAAATGAAAGGGGACTAGTTAGCGGAGTAACGTGGACAGTGCCGAACCCCAGAGTCAGGGACCCCAGAGGCAAAGGAGTGACTCTCTCTGGCTGGCCAAAACCCTAGACCTAAAAATCAGAGTGCCGGGAAATTACTCTTAACAAACAGGTCAAATTTACCTGGTGTGGAATTTCGCTGCAAACCCCACCCTGGGGCTAGGGTCAGCACAGAGCTCAGCTAAACCTCATCCCCAGGTGCTCCCGTCCTGTCCATCATCATCCACATTTTACACATGGGAAACTGAGGCACAGAGAGGCAAAAGGACTGGCCCCAGGTCACAATGCAAGTTTGTGCCAGGGCTATAGCAAGGATAGAACCCAAGAGTCCTGGCTCCCAGCACCTCTGCTCCAGCCGCTGGATGGCACTCCCTCCCAGAGCTAGGGAGAGAACCCAGGAGTCCTGAATGCTCCACCGGACACTACTCCTCCCCCAGAGACAGGAGTAGATCCCAGAAGTCCCCTGCTCTAATCACCA